TATGAATCTTGATTAATTTTATGGATTGAATTCAAAATGGATGTTATAAATTTGGATTAAAAGTCTCTTTGGTGTTTGAAGTTTGAATTAGTGAACTATGGTTGTAAACTTTGCATTATAATATTAGTGAACTATGTTGATGACTTGAATAGGTGGTGGAGTATTAATGAAATGCTATATTGTTATGAGTGTATGATTTTTTTCCAAAGGTATATATATATATTTTTATTATTTATTTAAAATTGCACTGTATCTTACGATACACGATACGATATACTATTTTAAAAAAACGATACGACTTCCAATACACGATTTAATAACTATGTATCCAACCACCTAAATACATACACATATCTTGGAAGGGTAAAAAAATCACAGCCTTGTGATCATACCTTGATGGGTACCTCATGTACTTATCTCTCTCCCAATTGCTTGTAATCGGCATTTTCACTAACACTTGGTAAGCAAATATAATCAANTAAAAAAACGATACGGCTTCCGATACACGATTTAATAACTATGTATCCAACCACCTAAATACATACACATATCTTGGAAGGGTAAAAAAATCACAGCCTTGTGATCATACCTTGATGGGTACCTCATGTACTTATCTCTCTCCCAATTGCTTGTAATCGGCATTTTCACTAACACTTGGTAAGCAAATATAATCAATCAACATAACTTTTTTTCAAACAAAAGAATGTATATAATTGAAAAAAAGAGCATCATGGGTGTCTCAATCAATAAATCTTCAACTTCAACATCTAATAAAAGAGCGTTGTTTTTTATTTTTTTTTAATAGCTCTCCAAATCAACAACCAATTCATCAAAAAAATTCTTTGAAGCAATACTACAAACACGTTGTAGTCATTGAGGAGAGGATGATAGATGTGGCATGGTAGTGGTGGTGGTGGCTGTAACGATGGGGTTGTGCTGTTGTAATGTCTATGACGTTATAATGTCTATGATGGCGTTGGATATGGTTCGTGGTNAAATCTTCAACTTCAACATCTAATAAAAGAGCGTTGTTTTTTTATTTTTTTTTAATAGCTCTCCAAATCAACAACCAATTCATCAAAAAAATTCTTTGAAGCAATTCTACAAACACTTTGTAGTCATTGAGGAGAGGATGATAGATGTGGCATGGTAGTTGTGGTGGTGGCTGTAACGATGGGGTTGTGCAGTTGTAATGTCTATGACGTTATAATGTCTATGATGGCGTTGGATATGGTTCGTGGTTGGGGGTGGAAGGGCTGGGGTAGAGGTGGACATAGGTAAGGATCAAAATATCATTTTGGTGTATTGTTTTGGTCACCTAATAAACAGAAACATTTCGAGGTATTTTGAAAATGTTTGGACCCATTTTGGAAACATAATGAAAAAAATAAAAAACTTAAAAATTATTTTTTCAAAACATGGGTCAAAATATCTTGAAATATTCCAAAAAAATTGTGCAAAAATATTGAAACATTACAAAATACCTTGGAACATTATGAAACACCTTAGTATTATAATTTCAGTTCCATCAAAGATTCCTTTCGGTCTCCTTGAAAACGGAAACGTTTCGGACGTTTCCATTGTTTCAAAATAAAATTTTAATCATTGGACATAGGTAGTGGGGTGGCTGTAGATAATGTAGGTGGATGATGGTGGAAAGAGGGTAAGGGTTATGGGGAGGTGCCAGATAGTGGTGGTGGATGGCAATGGTAGTGAAAGAGGAGAGAGGGGTATTAGAGGGAGGGGAGAGCAGCAAGAGGGAAAGGGAAAGAGAGAGAGAGTTAACTGAGCAAGATAGATGGAGACGGTGCAGTGACGTTCGAGAGTGGTGGAGGTTCTGGTTGGTGATGGCGGCGCCGGATGGGAAAGAGTTGTGAGTGGAGAGGGAGAGTGAGAATCTGAGTGCAGCCATTGGCAGTAGCTAGTCGGCGTTATAGAGAGAGAGAGGGGGGTTGGTTAGGATTTTAGTGTGTGGGTGATGTTACCGGTGAGAGATACGGGAGGTTGGGGCGGTAATTAGGGTTTATAGGTAGAGATAGAGAGAGAGAAGGTTGACATACAATTAACAGCGAAATGGTGATTGGGCAGTAATTAGGTTAAATGGTCTATAATTTGGGATTACAGTTAAGGTAATGTTAGAAGTAATTTAGGCGGGAAAATAAAAATTTAAGAGTGAATTTCAACCTTTAGTAATTAAGAAACAATTTGTTGCGAAAAGCTCAAGATAAATTTTAGGATTTGAAACCCTTTGTCCCTCATTATATAGATATTATATATAATTCACCAATATCAGTACTTAATTATATTAATTAAAATATGGGTTCATGTTTACCATACTTCAAGAGGTGAATTTTTGGTTACAATCAAGGAAGCTTGCCACATCCTTCTAATCTTTTTAGAGAACTGAGCGAATATGGAATGGTATCTACAAGCTGTAAATGGATCTTTTGGGGGAGGGGTGAATAGGTCTTGATGAAAATATATAGAATTTAAAACTTAATCAAAACCAAATCCACACAATTGCCACAACCAATTAGACAATAAAGTGAATAAAAGGAACACAATTAATAAAATTAAAACATGCTAGGAATGAAAAACTCAAGTATAGAGACGCAAGCAATTTTTACATGGAAAGTTTGATTCAAGCGCAGGACCTGATCCAGCACAAACCAATTCACTATTGAAATGAAGGTACATGACTCAATACTTACAATCCCTTCCAGTTCCACTAGGTAAACTATTCTCTTGCCTCTATCTCTCCTTATGAATCCTTTGTCGTCCTTAGTGTACAACAGTGGCTCCTCCAACGAATATAAGGATCATGTTTCTACTTTCAAAATGCTTGCCGATTAGTAATCCATTGAATATCGGTCCAACTCATTGAAGCTCCTTGAANCGCAAGCAATTTTTACATGGAAAGTTTGATTCAAGCGCAGGACCTGATCCAGCACAAACCAATTCACTATTGAAATGAAGGTACATGACTCAATANCTTAAGCAATTTTTACATGGAAAGTTTGATTCAAGCGCGGGACCTGATCCAGCACAAACCAATTCACTATTGAAATGAAGGTACATGACTCAATACTTACAATCCCTTCCAGTTCCACTAGGTAAACTATTCTCTTGCCTCTATCTCTCCTTATGAATCCTTTGTCGTCCTTAGTGTACAACAGTGGCTCCTCCAACGAATATAAGGATCATGTTTCTACTTTCAAAATGCTTGTCGATTAGTAATCCATTGAAGATCGGTCCAACTCATTGAAGCTCCTTGAAATCCAACCTGGATACTCAATGATATCACNGGCTCCTCCAACGAATATAAGGATCATGTTTCTACTTTCAAAATGCTTGCCGATTAGTAATCCATTGAATATCGGTCCAACTCATTGAAGCTCCTTGAAATCCAACCTGGATACTCAATGATATCACCAACAATGAATCACTCCAACTTACTATTGCGATCAAAACTTGTTCAAATAGGAATGATAATTGTAAGACTTTTTGATCCTATGAAGGATATTCACTTGAGAATTCTAACTAGTTTAGCTTTTAGATTGGATCTAAACAGCACGACCTACACGTTTTCTAGATAAAATTTCACTTGCATGTACAGTGACTAGGGTTTTTCTAAGTCTTCTAAGGCTCTAAACAATGTGTATGCTCGTGAGAATTAACCCAAGTTTGGAAACTTCTAACCAAATAAGGAAACTGTGTTGTCTAAAACCATGTGAACACCAAGACTTCTGAGATTTCAAATTCGATGGTCTCCACAACGGTTTGAGGGCCCAAGGTGCTTAGTTGAGCGCTCGTCATACGTGACATTCAATCTTGTTTTGCAAAGTAGTTTTCTAAAGTAATCCAATTTTCAAAATATTTACAGCTTCAAGAAAATATTCTCTATAGGATTGTCAGAGGAAGTACCCATCCACTTACTAGAACCAACTGTAGAAAAGAGGGATGCTCCACCCACATATCATGGAATTTAAAATAAGATAACCTGGACTGTCTTGGAATGTCCAAAACTTTGATAAGCAAGGGGCAGTTATCAGATCTACCCTTAGCAATATGCTCAACTTTCAGTATTTTCAAACCTCAAACTCCAATCTGAATTTATAAGAGTTCTGTCCAACCTTTGCCACATACGAGATCTCCCTTGGTGATTATTGCACCAAGTGTAATCACTACCAGAATATCCACAATCTATTAAATGCCCAGATTGAATAAAAGAATACTCATCCATTGCTATTAAGCTTGGAACAGCCCCTCCCATTCTCTGAGAAGAAGACAAAATGGCATTAAAATCTCCAGCAATCATCCAGGTAGAGAAGAGTTTTGGAGATTTATCAAACGGTCCCAGAGAGGCCTTCTCAATATGTAATCACAAGCAGCATACACCAAAGAAATCATAAATGGCTGTGAACCCCATAAAAGAAACTTTGACTGTCATAACTTGCTCATGAACATCAATAATCTTGACCTCAACTCTGTGGTCCCAAAGAATCCACATATTCTTTTCTACAAGTGAATTAAGTACATAAGAATTCATGTTCAAGCTGGCTGAAAAACCTGGCAACTTAAGGATAGAGATAAAAGGGACATCCCTCATCTTACTTAATTTCTTAAGACGCCTTCTTGTAACATCTTTACCAGAACCCTTAAATTCCATGAAATGATATTAATCATTTGATGTAGAGGAAGGGAGTTCAACTTTCTAGATTTAGATCTGGTCACTATACCAGTAGGGTTTGCTTCAAACAACAAACCTGCTTCTTTGCCCTCCTCAGTTTCTAGACTTTGAGTGTCAATTTCTACATCATCTATACTTAGTTGAAAGTTCACTGTCAATATAAAAGGCTCGGTTAGGAGGTTCCATATTACTCACTAATCCTCTCATCATCAAGGATAACCCCAGAACCCTCCTTATTAACATACTCATGCTCAATCAAAAACACTGCATCTGAATTAGGACAACCTTTATTATTCAACTGAGTTAATTTCTATTCTAAAACCTTCTCCTTCTGTGCTTGTTGCTCATCACCAACAGACTGTACTAGTTGAGGAGACTCACTCTGCAGCCCTACTTCAGCTATCGCAGTCTCTGTGGTTCCTGAATCTGGAATATCATCTATTTGGACATTATTGTTCTCAATTGTTACATTAATTTAGGTTGTATCAAAAGGACTCACCTTGTTATCTTTGCCTGAATGGTCATCAATTTGAATATTATGTTTGAGCTTTGACAGATTTTGCTTCACCTTAAATTTAGACTCTTCCAGACCATCATTCTCATTACTTCTGATCTGGACACCATTCTGTTTAAACTCCTTTTTCTGTTCCTTTCTTTTTTGTTCATTGGCCACCCCTTTACCTTTTTGATCTTTCTTCCCATTAGCAAAACATTGTTTTGTTTCAGANAGCCCTTTACCTTTTTGATCTTTCTTTGTGAAGACTCCTCCCATTACCGGGATGTAGGTCTTCCAAGAGCATTACCGCNACCCCTTTACCTTTTTGATCTTTCTTCCCATTAGCAAAACATTGTTTTGTTTCAGAATCCTCATTACTTCTCTCGCTATCCTCTTTCTTTTTCTTCCTGCAATCTTCCTCCACAATGTTTGTTGAAGACACCTTGAGCAGTATTTGCTTTCTTTTTTCATATACTATTTTCTGCCACCTACCAGTAGAGGCCCCCATATCCAACGAAATTCTTTTCAGATTATCTGCAAGCAGAATGACTTCAACACATGCCCTTGCAACCCCTGACCTAGATAATTGAATCGTTGGAGTGTCTACCACCAAAATCCTTGGAATCGGATTCAAAATATAACCTGCATACTCTCATTCAAAGCCCAACGTGAACTAATAAACTCCTTAATCACTCCAATTGAAGGCTTTCCATAAACACGCTTCCCGATTAATGTTTACTGAAATTGCTTTGAGCTCTTTGTTTCCTCAGTCATCCAGTAAATCCCTGGCTCCCCATTATTATACACGACCTTTTTCCCAGGTCTTATGTGGGGAACCTCTTCCTTCATTGATTCTACTTGTACCGGAAGATCATCGTTATCAGTTGCTATCGAATTTTCAAGTTTTGAGCCATCATGCTGATTTTGGTGAAAAGTGAAAAATTGAAGATTCAATGAATTTACGTGGTTCTTGAATAGTGATGCAAAGGTTTTGGTTATATTTGGTGGTTTTTAATGGAATCAAACGGTGGTTTGGATCAGCAATCATGGTTATTGGAAGAAAAAATCTAGAGAGAAGGTAGAGCTTCTCTCTCTAGCAAGAAAACCCTACACTGAAGAGATCTGTTCCAACCTTGAGCAGTAGACATACAAGAAAAAGAGGAAGCAAAAGTACGATTGGATGGNGTTGGAGTGTCTACCACCAAAATCCTTGGAATCGGATTCAAAATATATCCTGCATACTCTCATTCAAAGCCCAACGTGAACTAATAAACTCCTTAATCACTCCAATTGAAGGCTTTCCATAAACACGCTTCCCGATTAATGTTTACTGAAATTGCTTTGAGCTCTTTGTTTCCTCAGTCATCCAGTAAATCCCTGGCTCCCCATTATTATACACGACCTTTTTCCCAGGTCTTATGTGGGGAACCTCTTCCTTCATTGATTCTACTTGTACCGGAAGATCATCGTTATCAGTTGCTATCGAATTTTCAAGTTTTGAGCCATCATGCTGATTTTGGTGAAAAGTGAAAAATTGAAGATTCAATGAATTTACGTGGTTCTTGAATAGTGATGCAAAGGTTTTGGTTATATTTGGTGGTTTTTAGTGGAATCAAACGGTGATGTGGATTAGCAATCATGGTTATTGGAAGAAAAAATCTGGAGAGAAGGTAGAGCTTCTCTCTCTAGCAAGAAAACCCTACACTGAAGAGATCTGTTCCAACCTTGAGCAGTAGACATACAAGAAAAAGAGGAAGCAAAAGTACGATTGGATGGAGACAAACAATTATAAGAGACAAAATTAGAGATGCGATGTTGAGTACAAGTTTGAACACCCTTTTTGGCTATAATAGGAACCTCAAAGTCATCAATAACTGGATTATCGATAATGGGAGTAACACTTGGAGGTTCATTATGAACTTAATAGATCAGTGGAGGATGTGAGGAATTCAACTGACGGATCAATTACTTGTAATCGGAAATGGTGACTCTGATAATGGCCGGTTGGTGGTGTGTGAATAAGTTTTTAGATTATCCTTGTTAAAGTGAACACCATGTGACCCATTAATAAGCGATTGTAAGATTGCCNGGAGTAGAGAAAACATCATGCTGAGCCATCAAACATAACTCCGACAGAATCAGCAAAACCATCTTAGGCAAAACAATAATGACCACTACATTGAAAATTTGATCATCGCAAAAGAAGAAAGAGGGGAAGAAAAGGGGAAGAAGTAGAAGAGAAGCAAAGCATGAACCTAGTGACTAGACAAAGAAGNCCAAAAAGATTAGGGAATATTCATTGTAAATATCAATAGATGAGCTATCTCAAGAAGATGACTATTTTTTCGCTCAGCAATACCATTTTGTTTAATGGGGCTCACATAACTAGTTTGATATAGAATTCCATTCGCATCGAGGTAAGAACAAAATTCCCCATTAATATACTCTGGTTTTATTATCATTTCAAAAAATTTTGATTTTAGCGACAAACTGAGTACTCATCATTTTATGAAAAGATCTAAAGTATGAGAAAGCATAATAGATAGATAAACCCAAGCAAGATAAAAATCATAATCAATAAAAATGACAAACAATAACTAGAAAGAGATAACACAGGAAGGGCCCCATAGATTAGAATAAATAATGACAAAAGAGCATTGCTTCTATTATTGATACTCGAATAAGATGAACGTTTATTCTTCGTGAACAAAAAATTGTCTATTATACTATTTCAGTAGACTAAGAAAAAGATATTCTAAGACACCAAATGAGAGATGCCACAAATGCCTATGTCACTGATATAAGAGGTGAAGGGCTAGAACACCATCTGCTTGGAGAGCTTGATAGGTAGACTGAGGAGAAGCTTCGGCATCCATGAGATACAAACTGCCATTTGTCCTAAAACTATCAATTGTTTTTTTCAATTCCAGTTCCTAAAAGATATAATGAGTAAGGAAAAAATCATCAAACAATTCAATGATTTTGTAATACCATTACCACACAATAAATTAGTGGAGAAATTTGGAACAGGGATAATAGAGTGGAGCGATAAGGTGGGTGAGTGATTGAACTTTTCCAGGAAATAGAGGATAAAGGTCTATCTACCATTTTTGACTTTATCCTTAATAGAATATGTAGAGTATGAAGAGAAAAGGCTAAAAAAACTTGCCATGTGGTTTGTGGCTCTAGAATCTATTATCCAAGGAGTATATGAAGATGCCACAGCAAACACACTAGCACATATACTTATATGAGTAAAGCTGAAAGAAGAGACATGATTAAGAGCTGGAGTAGAGAAAACATCATGCTGAGCCATCAAACATAACTCCGACAGAATCAGCAAAACCATCTTAGGCAAAACAATAATGACCACTACATTGAAAATTTGATCATCGCAAAAGAAGAAAGAGGGGAAGAAAAGGGGAAGAAGTAGAAGAGAAGCAAAGCATGAACCTAGTGACTAGACAAAGAAGCAATAATAAATTGTAAATCTGATTCTGAGAAGAAGAAGAGAAAAAGAAAAATATTGGCTCAAGAGAAGAAGAATAGAAGAAGAGGAAGATAAAATACTATCTGGTGATTGTCCAGAAGAATAGAAGAGAATTTGGTGAGCTATGCCTATCTGGTGAGTATCACAAGAGAGTCTGTGAGTGTTGCAAAAAGTAGAATTCTCCAACTCAAATCAATTTAGAGGATTAGGGATCTGTTGATTAGGGTTAGTGTACAAATATGAGTTTGACTCAATGGGCTGTTATTGACATATCTAATGTTTGATCCAATTGATCAATCTCACGACCCATAATAAACAAAGACAAAAACTAAAAAACTTCACTTAGGCGCTTGCCTCATCGCTTAGGTTGACTAGGTCGCTTATTCCTTGTCTCTTTGAAGTTTGCTTCTCTTTTGGACTCTTTCAGGCGACATAGGCTCGTCTAGGTGTGCTTTTCAAAACACTAATTATAGAACTCTAAATTACGGTATTTAATTTGGTTGGGCTTAATTTTGTTTTAGTTTTGACCATCATGGAGTTATTTCTGTTGCGTGATATACACCCCGGATGAATAGGTGACTATATATTCATTACTACATATACATACACATTTTTGTAATTTGATGATATTTTCCTGTAGTTAGGTTTGTAATCCATCACACCCTAAGCAAGTCGATGGAAACATACTACCAGGTTTTTTACTCTCTTACTAAGCTTACTTTTGTACGTCTTAGTCGTCCTTTGTGTAACTTCTTCTATTGCAGGAGAGTGGTCGAGCAGGACGAGATGGACTTCCCTCAGAATGCTTACTCTACTTTAGACCCGGTGATGTCCCTAGGCAGGTAGTTATTTGTTTGAGAATCCATGCTTTCCGTAATAAGCTGAACAGTTATTGAATTTTTGAATGTGGTATTTTTTTGTACAGAGCTCAATGGTCTTCTATGAGAATTATGGATTGCAAAATCTCTATGATGTAGCACGATATTGTCAGGTAGAAAACTTCGTCTTGATAATCAAATTACGGGTTCCTGTGAGTCAATGGTTGAATCATTTCTTCAATTTGTGCAACAATTAAAAGAGACATCTCATTTCTTCTCTTAGTGGTAACATAGAAACCCCCTTTGCGAATGACATATATATAAGGATCAGTAAGAAATATAAATCTTATCACTTGATAATACAAATTCAGTAAGTGTTTATTTCTCATCCTTATTTTTATATTTTAACTCTTACTGTGTTTGAAAAATCCCAACATACATGGGTGTTATTGACCTTAGGGTGCCTTGACATGAAATTTTGCCGCAACTTGAATAATAGCATCGTGTGAGCTTTCTTCTAAGAATTTTGGGTTGGCTACTGGAACTTTCCTCTATATTTCCATATATGTAGTATCCCAATTGTTAAAATATATGAAATTATGAGGAGAAGGTGATTAAGTTATATACTAAAAACTTATTTTTTGTAGTGAAACTCAGTTTATTATTTACTAAAAATTCTTCATTTTCTATTTTAATGAGAATCTGTCTGGATGAAATGTTTGCATTGTGTAAATATATGTTGTTGTGTGTGTCTTTTATTTTACATTGTAGATAAGCTAGTGTGTAGAGTTCGACTTATACACAAAAGATCAGATTATCGGATTATTTTATGATATGAGTGAAAGTTCATAGTGTTAGATGGAATTAGACGCACCATAAGTAGGATTATAGCGCAATCTTTTGATTTAGTCTGTCTTGGCTATAGGAGATTGTCTGATGTCTCGGATTGTTATACTAGTACAGTTTGT